CGGGGCTGGCGTTGGGCAGGGGGCAGCTGGAGATCATCTTGACCTGATTCTTGCGAGGGGCGGGGAGGCGAGAGTCCAGGTTCAAACTCTTCACTCCGGTCAGAGTTTTGTCCACCGGAGGCTCGAGACGACACTGCGAACAGGACAGGAAGTGGGTCAGTATCACACGTTCACCATCATCATTGAATCAAACAGTGACTGAACGGCGTCGCGATTGAATGATGTCATCGTCATCAGCTAAGGGTGTCCAATAAGAAGCTCGAGCAAACAAGTCTGACAGACATCAGGACAGAGTGAACGTCGAAGCATCCTGTGACACTCCCCACAGCTGTGACACTCCCCACAGCTGTGACACTCCCCACAGCTGTGACACTCACCTGCAGAAGCACCACTGTGCCTCCACCTGCCAGCTGATGAAGCAGCTGCTGGCAGCCGCCCTCGCTCTTCTTCTCTGAACATATTTCAGAACAAAATGACGACACGTGTGACTGTGGAAACTATTTCACATGAACTCTGATACTCTGAACCTCGACTGAGGAGTCAATAAAAATACATCAGTCCAACCAAATACTGTGAAAACACGAGCGCCAAAGATTATTGGCTTGTGTGAAACACGCCGCCTGCTCGCCGGTTTGAAAAGAGGCCCCTCTTTGTGTCATATCCTGGGATATTTATCAGAGCGGTTTGTTGTATTATTTAATAAATGGAGTCACTTCCTGTTCCCACTGTGACCTCATCATTTCCTCAGGAACTAAAAACATATTCAGGACCAGCTCCGGCGTGAGCAGAGGTAAACTGGTTCCCATTGGCCCAGAGGCGGGGATGGGGGGTGGAGCACAGCGCAGTGCGATGCGCTCCCTCTTGTCTCTGATCTCCCACTGAGATCATCAGGTAACCCTACGCCGGAAGGCCGGACCTTCCTGTGGGAGGACGACATCCGGGCCGCGGCTGATGAAAGACCCAGGGCAAGGGAGCTTCTGGCTCCGCCTTCAAAGGAAGGACAAGGCGTGAGGGAAAGATGGAGTATGAGGGAGGCTGTGACGAGCGTTAGGGGGGCGGTGAAGGGTCACTCACGGCGCTGCGAGCTCCCGGCAGGTACGCTCACCTGTGCTTACACCAGCTTATCATGATGTGTTTTAATAAGCCGGTGTCAGCACAGGTGAGCGCTGTTGTTACTTCAGCTGTTCTCGTTTACAGCTGCTTAAATAAAGGATGTGAAGACGTTCTCAGTTTCGCTTCAGCTGCTTTAATCGTGAAATACTCGCCACTCGCCATCCTTACAAACGCTCTTCTTTCTGATTTTACTGTTTTGGCCTCTGTTCCACTTCTTACCATCTGGGGGCGCTGCTGCTGCTGCTGTGAGGCGTTGCAGCTCTCTTTGTCGATGTGATGAATCATCTGGAGGTTCGGCGGCTCGCTCACCATGCTGTACACGTCGTCCGCTGCCTGCAGAGAGAAGGCGGGGCGTTTAAAGCGGGCTCAGTCGTACCTGAGCTCTGAGCGTTCAGGACCTGAGGGGTGGGCTCACCTGAGCGGCCGGGGGCATCTGGCTGCGGGGCTGAGGCAGCGTCCTGCTCTGGGCCAGCGGCAGGTGCGGTGGGGGGGGCAAGCTGAAGCTCTGGGTGGTGTCTGGACTCGCCTGGCCCCCCCCGGAGGTCTGTCTGTGGGGAGGGGCGACCTTCTGCAGGTTGATGGCGGCTTCCACGGCCTGGAAAAGGACGTTCCCCTGTTTGGTGTCGAACTCAAAGTTCCCTTCGCCGGAGTCGCAGCGCCGACCCGCCTCGAAGGAGAAAGTGGCCTAAAGGAAGCAGAAAGCCAGAGACGCTCAGGCTGACGAGCAAACACGGCGTCGTGACAGTTTACAGCAGGACGTGTCAGACGAGAAGCTGCGAGTGTCAGGAAATCAGCAAAGACACGAGTCGGGTCACAATCCCGTGAACCAGCACGCGATCTCTTTACTCCAGAAACTTCCTGCTGAGAATCCTGGTTTTATTCTGAAAGTGTGTCTCACCTTGTCGCGTCCAAAGCGCCGCAGGTATCTGTACGGCCAGGTGTACACGATGTCCCCTCCCTTGTCCAGCAGGTGCAGAGCGTCCATGTCAGCTCGCAGGACGCCGTCCCCCTTCAGCCTGCAGCGATCAGACGCCTCCGTCCTCCGAATGGACACCCTGAAGTCACGCACTGACACACACACAGTTATTATTCAGTTAGTCTGCAGAAACACAGATCATTGAGTATTGATTACTTATAGATTAGAGTGAGGATGAGGTATCAGACAAAGAAGGATTATTTTGATCCTGGACTAATTGATGAGGGCGGCTGTGATCAGAGAGGATGTTGTTGCGTCCAACACGGAGGCCCGACTCTGCAAACGTGCTTCTCGTGGTTTCACGCCTCGACAGAAATGATGTCAGTAAATAATAAGAATAAATCGTCTTTGCATGAAACGTGTTTTTAACGATGATGAGCGGATTTGTTTGTGTTCTTGTGGCTGAGCGGCAGATGATTGAAAAGGAAGAAAGAATCTTTCACAGCAGATGTGAAACAAACGTGATGGAGACGAAAGAAAAGCATCTTTTTATCTGAGCGACTTTTACGTTCAGCTGTTGACCTGCAGCTGACGCTCCCAGAGGAAACCACAGACGCTCGCAGCTCTACTTCAGCAGCAGCGCTCGCTAAACAGCGCCAGAACAAACACCTGATTCAGGCAAACCGGAAAACCGCGCCTGACCCTTAAAACAGGGCGAAGATCCGACGGCGGGTCCTCACATGGTCGAAAACCTTTGCACGTCCCCACAAGGACACACGTACAGGTGTGGGTGTTCGTGTGTGTTCGTGTGTGTTCGTGTGCGCGCTGCAGGTGTTGGAGGATGTGGGGCAACAGTAGCAACTACAGCAGGCGTTCATCACGACCACGAGTTACACAAAATGCTCCAAATGTGGTAAAACTGCCGCAGCTGTGAAGTGCTATTTATATTCCCGGCTTATAAAACGTTATTTCCTGTCTCTGTTGTTGATCCAAACCGCGTTTGAAGATCGTAACATAACTTTTATTTACTGTAGGTTGTACTGAAGCAAGGCGCCCTGATGCAGAGCGGCGTTACTGATGAGACTAACAGGAAGTGTCACACTCGGCTGTGAAGCTAAAAATATGCTCGGCAGGGGGAAATGATACTCGCGGCGGCCCTCGTGCATTTCGAGCTCATAGATCCAGACGTGGCTCAGAGACCTCGACCTCGCTGACCGACTCACCCTGAGACTCGTCTGCAGAGATGTTGGTGTCAGGAGGAGCTCGGGGCGGATGGATGAGCAAACTGTGCAAAAGTGCTTTAATCGCCTCCTTATGTCAGCTGTGCCCACGCTGAACCCAAACACATTATTTTGACGTTTCCGCAGCGATAATCTGACCGTGGAGATGAAAAAGCTTCCAGGAGGAACAGCAGCGCGGTCAGGGGCGGCTGCACTAACACGAGGAAGCCATTTATTCCTCCTGTAGCTGCACGTTTGGACACCAGGGGGCATACAGACAGGAAGCGCTTCATTCAGGTGCTCTTTAGCGGGCATGCTAGCAGTGAGACACGTTAGCTGGGATGTTTTGCTCGGGTCACATGGCCGCACACACACGTCACACCAGTCACACCAGTCACACCAGCATGCACGGCGCAGATAGAGACCAGCTGACCGACGCTGGTCAGAGCAGCTTCCGCTCAGCGACCATCACGAGTCGAACGCTAACAACAAACACGTCTTTGTGCCTCGGAGGACGGCGGGACAGTAAGGAGCCCGTGTCAGCGCGTGGAGGTTTCACCGCCTGTAAACGGCGACACAGTTCAGGGCGCTGGTTGACCTCAGCACTTCATTCACCACCAGCTAAAAAGAAACCATCAACCTCATCGACAGGTGGAAAACCAGAACAGTGACGGCGCTGTCCTCTGATTGATCTATCTCTGCTCATGGGCGGAGCAACAAGCCACCGCTGAAGCGAGAACAGGCCTCGTGTTAACGACGTGAGAAACGTGACCTTATGAACCATCAGCACAGAAACATCAGGCGTCGTCTGAGAGACAAGAACGAGCTTTTTACAGAGACTCAAACACTTCCTCACACGGTCACATGACTGTTTCACCTAAATCTGATTCAGCTGCTTCTCTGCAGTCAAAGTAATAAAGTAATAAAGTAATAAAGTAATAAAGTAATAAAGTACCGGCTCTGCAATGTACTCAGAGTAAAGTAGCTTCTACCAGCTGAATGCTGGAGCCTGTGATACATGAATGTGATCATCAATGATATCAGGAGAACAAACTTCAGTCTGAATATTAATTCTGATAAAAATTCTCAGGTTGAATCATTTCTGTGGAAGCTGAGCAATAAAAATGTGACCTTTGAGCCTGAACAGGTCACCGTGTGGGGTCGGGGGTCACAGGTCACGGTGTGGGGAAAACAATCAGAGCTCCAGGAGACGTTGTGTGATCAGCTGACCTGCTGTGGACGTACACACCTGGATGTGAGCAGATGTTTCCTGAGGTCTTCTAGCTGAGTCCATCCTCCACGCTGACACTGCTGATGCTGTCTTTATATCAGACACCAGGAAGTTGGTACGAAGGTTCACTCAGTGAATCTCTGTGAGCTGTGACCATGAACCCACAGCCACTGTGCTCCAGTCACTCTGGTCTTTACTGTAAGTCACCTGTTTATCCTGGACTCACCTGTGAACTCTACGACCTCGGCTCACAGGTTAAAGGTTAAAGTTCATGAAGGTACAGACTGAGCACGTGCGGTGCTTTGGACAGGCTGCGTGAGAACGCCTGTGCGTGACTGTTTGTCAGCATGGACAGCAGCTCGTCCACAGCTGGGTTAGGACAGAGCTACAGAGCTCCGCCCTCTCAGCGCCCGTACACACTGCTGATGGAGAAACACTCGTTATGTTCACCGACTCCGCGTCCTCGCCTCTGACAACAATCAAATAACCAAACAGGTCAAACTGAACCTTTCACCCGTCTCACACTCGCAGTCGTGCAGAACAATCACATCAAATATTCTGAGGTCGTTACGATGCAGCACGAACATGTTCGTGTTCAGCTGCAGGTTTCTCTGCGGGTCACAGACGGAGACATCAGCTTCCTGTTTGTGGACGTCAACGTGTCCCGAAAAGAAAAAGGAAGACGGGTTTGATTACTAAGACAAATAGAAACCCACAAGCAAAGTTAAAAACACCAAATAAAGAGCTGCTTCAGGGTCCTGAGACGTGCGAGGCTCGCCGCTGCCCAAACAGCAGCTACTTCCTGTTTGGAAAGAACAGAAACAGGAAGTTTGCCCTGTGAAGATAAAAGCTGAGGTCGTCCTGCGGCCGCTGGTCACTGCAGCGATGCAACACCCTGCGACACGCCTCACCGCAGCAGGAACCCGCGCACACAAGTTTCCACTACACACGGCGTGTTCACAAT